ACATCTTTCTGTTTTTTGCTGAGTCCTTTAATGTCCTTTTCTTTCTCCGTTGCGTCTTTTGACTTCTTTTTCTTTTTTAAACTATCCTTACTGTCTGATTCAGTTTCCGACATGGAGCTTTCAGATTTATGGGAACGGTTCTTCTTTTTCTTTCTCCGTTTTCCTTGTTTCTTGTCCTCATCTTCGGAATCTGCGGAACTGCTGGAAGAACCAGAGCTTGGGGACGATGACACCTTCCAGGCTTCCACTGTTCTTTTCCTTCCTCTTTTTGGGACGAGCTCTCACTTCCACTTAACAAGTTCTCCCTATGTTTTTCTAGTTCTCTCTTCCAGTTCTCATTCATTTTTTCTTCAAACTCAGCCAAAGCCTTGGAAAGGTTTTCTTTTCTAGTTGCTCTTTCACTTCCTCCCAGGGAGGCCTTGGTCGATTCAGATAATCCGGGATCGTTGGCCCTACAGACTGGACTGGACCCCTTGATCTGGCCATTGCTATTGGTTCATATCAGCCACCTGACTGTCCCGCTTCCCCATGGTGCCCGACTGAGCAAACATGCCGAGGGAGACCAGGCTGGAGAGGTGGCAGCAGGCCCGCCACAGGTCCCTCCGCCACCTCCCTACTCTGCCCCTGGCTGTGTCTTAATCAGCATTTTGTCTGAGCATCAGTGGCGGCTGCAGAAGATGAGCTGCAGGTGGTGGTCTTAAAAGGGGCTGAGCTCCCCACTACTCTGGTGAAATGGGACCAGGCACAGGACTGAAGACAGAAGAGGATGGGAGAAGGAGACCAGCCTTTGTGACCTCCCCACCTCCCAAGTGTACAGGGCCAGTGCCATTTTCCTAAAGACGGGTGAATTCCAGTTTCACAAAAGGGATGGCAGGCAAGGGGTGTGTTAGTTGAAAAAAAAGAAGAAAAACCAGGAAAGGAAATTAAATGTATCACATCTACTGAGCCCCTACTTTGATGCCAACTTGTGCCCTGGGCTCAGGTGATTGGGATGCAGGCCTCACTCACCCTGGGGACACTCACAGCTGAGTCAGGGAGATTCCCGCTGTGTGATGCACCAGACAGGCCCAGACACTGAGGGAGCCCATCACCTCTGCCTGGGGTGGTGTGGGGAAGATTTCAAAAGAAGGTGACTTTTGACCAGGGTCTTGAGGGATGAGTAGGAGTTCAAGAGGTGGAGGAGATTGGGTGAGCGCGTTCTAGGCAGTGGAAAATCTGACAGGGAGGTGGGAAACAGCAGCATGTGTGTGGAGAAACTCAGTTGTGGCTGAAGTGTAGAATCCAGGGGTGAAAGAGGAGTGAGTGGCCGGACATGGAGGTGTGCTGTATGCAGGGCTGTCGTGCAGTGGAGCGGATATGGCACAGAACTGGAAGGTGTGGGCAAGAGGAAATGCCATTGGAAAGGTGACTGGCACAGACCCAAGATTGGAAAGACAGGTGACCACAATGTGAAGGCTAAGCCAAGCGCTGGCACAGACCCAAGGGGAGGGAGGCCCTGGGCATCGCTGGTCACCAGGGGCCTCTCCGCGGGCGCACGGTCCTCCCACGGGGATTGGGGATGGGTGGGGGGAGATGGGGCGGGGAGGAAGCCAGCCAGCGGCAGGGCGAGAAAGTCCAACCTCCGCGGGCGTTCCTCACAGCCGCCGACCTCCGGGGCTGGGGCTGGCGCTGGGGCGGGCGCCGACGTCTTGGCCCTGCCGGCGCCGCGCGGAGCTCACAGCTCCCGGAGACAGGTAGGAGGGCAGAGGCACAGGGAGCTGGCCGGCCGGGCAGCAGGGACAGCACACCCCAGGGCTTCCGCGGGAATTCGCTCCGCCTGGCTGGCGGCTGCAGCGGTGTCCCGTGTCAGAGAAAGTGGGGTGCCCGGAGGAGACCCCGCCTCCAACTTCCTCCGCCAGCTGGCGCAGGGCCCAGTCACCGCTCGGGGCCGGGGTGGGAGGTCGCCGGCGGGAAGGAAACGCCGAGAGCCCCAGGGGCTGGTGCTGGGCGGCTCGGACCTTCCCTCCGTCGGACGCCGTCCCCCGCGCGTCGCCGAGGTGTCGCTGGGGCCGTGGCCTGGCGCGCCCGAGTCCGGAAGCCCCCGCCGCGGCGGTCACCTGCTTGGCCACCCCGGGGCCCCGGTGCGGGACAGCACCTCTCCGCCCTCGAGGGGCGCGCCGGGCGCGTTCCCGGGCTGGGGACGCGGAGCGGACGCAGGGGAGAGCCTTGCGCCGGGGGCGCACGGGGAAGGGCGTTGTGCGGACCTCGGGGGTCTCGGAGTCAGTCGGGGACAGTGAGGGGTGAGGCGCAGTTGGGCTCGGTCGGCCCTCCCCGTCCCCTCCCCGCCCCTGGTCCTGCTGCGGCCCCAGACGCCGCGCCCCGCCCGCCGCCTTCTGCCAGCAGACGGTCCTCGGAACGCGGCGTCGAGGGGCCACCCTGCGGGCGCGGGCCACCCGGTCCCTGCCCGTGGGAGGCAGGGGGAGGTCGAGGCCGTAGGGCCTGCGGAGTAGCCCAGTGGTCACGCTCAGGGCTGGCCTGGAGACCGGCGGGTCGTTTGCCACCAAATGAATTGAAAAAAACTGAACGTTTCAGGCTCTCAGTACTTTAAAATTGCAGACACTGGCTCTAGTCCAGATTGTAGTGGCGGTGTACTAGGGGCCAGTCTAAGTAAAATTCTTCTTTCCTCCTGTCCTCCTTCGGCCTCCCTGCCCCTCATTAGCCCTCTGGCGGCCCCTAACCCCCTTCCTCGCACCGAGCAGCAGTTAACCGAGCTGCCCCCGACAGAGCAGAGGGGGCCTGGCAGCAGCCCCCCTCCCCCACCCCTGCTACCGCAGGAATCATGAAAATAATGAATCACTGTGCCAAATTAACTAGCACATACGTCATTCAGTGTGCTAGGTTACATTGTGCTGAACTTGGCTTATGTACGCTGTCTTATCCTTGCAACCCGAAGTCATTTTATACCTTAAAAAAATTAGAGAGAACATTGGTAGAATTACAGATTTTAAAATTGAAACATACAAGACAGTACTTGTTTAATGTTTTGTGCTCAACGGCGCATATTGCCTATGTCATCACTCCGACGCAGTGACATGTACACACATGCACACATACTCCACAGGGTGTGCAGATGGGGCATGCATACACCACCCTGCACACACACGCACAACAGACGGCACTCAGGCCTGCTCTGCACATTGTGTAGCACACGTTGCGTGCATGCACACGCCAAACTCCACCGAGACACTGCACACACGCTGCTTATGGAGCTGCCCAGTGCAGAAAAATGCTGGCTTGGGCTTAAAATACGATAACAGGGCGGTGAAGCGGCTCATGCCTGCAATTCCAGCACTCTGGGAGGCCAAGACGGGAGGATCACTTGAGGCCAGGAGATTGAGATAAGCCTGAGCAACACCAGGAGACCCTGTCTCTTAAAAAAAAAAAAAAAAAAAAAAATTAGCGGATGTTGTGGCTCTTGCTTGTAGCCCCAAGCTACTGGGGAGGCTGAGGCAGGAGAATCGCTTGAGCCCAGGAGTTGGAGGTCGCTGTGAGCTGTGATGCTAGAGCCACTGCACTCTAGCCTAGGTGACAGAGCAGGAATCCATCTCCAAAAAATATATATATTTAATATATAAATAAAATATATATATTTATATAATATATATTTAAATATATATAATTAACATTTTGAAAATATTTGAGTTTTAAAAGTGTCTTCAGAGACTTTCATCTTTTTAAGGAAAATCTATTTTGCAAGTTTTTAAACAACTGATGTTATGGCTTTTTATAAAGAAATCTGCTCAATTAAAACAGTGAGTCTAATTTAGATTCTGAACTCCCAGTTTTTCAAGGACATGGAAGTATTTTTAATTGCTCTCTCTGTTTTCCTCTGGAACCCTGAAACAAGTTGTTCCTGAACTTCTGCCAGTTGTCGCTGGGCCCTGTCTGGCTGTCGCGTGCGAGCCGCAGGCCTGCGTGGGCACCTTGTTCTGCATTGCGCGCCGCGCTTGCTGCGGTCTCCTGGTCACCTGTGGGTCACCTGGCCCACACACCGCGCCCACACTCGGGACAGCTGTCGGAGTCCCGGGCTGCAGGGTGGCGCCCTGCCCCCGCCCCCGGCCCAGCGCCCCCCGCGGCTCTAACCCGCCTCCTGTCCCGCAGGCGGAGATGCGGCTGCTCCTGCTCCTGCCGCTGCTGCTGGCCCCGCCGCCCGCGTCCGCGGTGAGTGCGGCCCCACCCCGCCCCCGGGAGGACACTGCGGGGAGGCAGGGGCGGGGACGCGTGGGTCCCTGGCTGGTTGGAGCCCACCGGCTGCTGCGGCGACGTCCCAGGAGAGGGCAGTGTCGGGGAAGATGGGAAGGGAGGAGGCAAGCCGGCCTGAGCTCCTTCAGAAAGGGCTGGGACATGAAGCAGGGTGGCCAGGGTGCAGGGTGCAAGCATGGCACCTCTCACCACCCTCCCCCTTCAGAAGGTGGTAGGTGCACTTCATGGAGGCGCAGTTAATGCTGGTCCCCCAGCTGGTCTTCCAAGGCGGAAGGACAGATGGGGGGATGGGAGGTGGGCCATGGTGGCACCTACCAAGATGCAGGGCTAGGTGGCCCATCCCACCAGACACCTGTCACTGGGAACCAATTGCAGCTTCAGAGGTGTGGGCTGCCTGTCATATCGTGTCCCCTTGGAGTTAGCGCTGGAGCAGGACTGTCCAGTAGAACCTTCCCAGTGATGGACAAGTTCTGTGTCTCTGCTGTCCAATAGGTAGCCACTAGGCCCATGTGGCTGTTGAACACTTGAAATGTGGCTCATGCAACTGAGAAACTGAGTTTTAATTTTATGCCTTTAATTAATTTAAATAGCCACACATGGCTAGTGGCCATCATATCAGAGTGTGCACATTTTCAGAGGGGATAAAAGAAACCAACAGGTGATCAGAGTAGCTGTTTCATTAACGGGGGCCCAAAGCACGGGGCTCCCTGGAGAAGGTGGCTGGGTTCTGAGGACACACAGGAAATCTTGATCGCCTTCGGGGAGGAGAGGGTCTGAAGCTGGGTGCTGCCCTGGTTGGTGCCTGGCAGAATAAAGGGCACAGAGGCAGCCAGGCCCTGTCCTGCCCCTGGAGAGCTGTCCCCAAGGAGAAACCCACAGCCCTCTCCAACCCTCTGTGAGGCAGGCAGGAAGTGAGCAAGGAAGGCTCCCTGAGAAAGGACCCAAACTGCTGCCTCTGTGGGCTCATGGGTGGGGGTTGAGCAGGCCCCTCTGACAGCTGGTGTGGGGCAGGCGGGGGTGGAGTTGGGCGCTGTGCCCTCCTCCAAGAGCCCTGAACATCCAACACGTGCCGCAGAGCCGGTGAGCCAGAGCCAGCCTTCCTCAAGTCCTCTCCACCACCTGCCAGCTCCCTATAGTCACCTCTGCCACCCCGTGGACCTTGCTCTTAAGTGGCACACTCTAAGTTCTTCAGTGTGTGCTGGTCCTCCCGCTGCAGGAAAGCCAAAGCCCAGGCGCAGGGACTACTGGGACAGTGTCAAGGCCGTCGGATGAAATCCTAGAGCCACCTTGTAACAGCTGCATGACCCCAGGCAAATCACCAAGCTGTAGATTCCTCTAATTTGGGGGTAATAATGCCCACCCCAGGCTGTCATGCAGATGAAACCAATCATGGTTTACGGAGCACCCTGGATCCTATTAGGCCCTTTCTCCTTTAGAAACACCTGAGCAGCCTTCGCCAGCCACCTCCTACTGGCAGTGTGGGCGTCTCGCGAGGGTCTGGGTGAGGCCTGGGCAGGACACTATTCTCCTCTACCCTCTGCTTGTCTGGTGGCAGGGCTGTGCCTTGCTTTTAGCTCAGCGGCCTCCGTTTCTGGTTCTAGCTGGGGCAGGGTCCACCGCTGGGTCCTGAGCACCTCCTTGGGATCCCTCTAGTGCTGCCAGGGCTCGGTGTGTGACCCGCAGTGGACTGCGGGTCCCCGTGCCCTGTCCCTGCTCCTGCATGCGTGCCCGTGGTCTCTCACTCCCACACATATGGGGCAGCAGATTGCCCTGGAAACTGCGACAGGCAATGGGTGGCCCTGGATGGCTCAGGTAGGAGTGGGAGCAGGAGGGGGTGGGGCACTGACGGCAGCAGGGACAGGTGGGGGCAGGCCCAGGTGTGGCTGGGCTGTGCTAGCTCATTCTGCTTCACACCGTAGTGCACTTGGTGGTTCTGCTAATTACAGAGAAGCAGAATGTGCCTTCTGGAGAGGCAGCGTGTGGTGAGCGGACGGAGCACGACTCTGGGATCAGACAGACGGGGGCTCTTAGGCACACGTGCTGGTGCCCAGGCTGGTGGACGCCTGCCTCACAGGCGCAGGGAGCAAGAGGATGTTCGAGAGGGCCGCATCCTGGGCTTGGCCCTTAGGAGCCCTGTGTTCAGGCCAGTCTTCCCCGACCTCAGCCTGCCAGCCACAAGGTGGCTCTGGGGCAGAGGCAACCCTTGTTGCCTTGGCCACACCTTGGCCCAGCCCAGCTCTGGGGAAGGGTGGATTTGGGCAGGGAGGGAAGCTCGGGCTGCAGTTCAAAGGAGCCAAGACAGACATCCGAGCAGGCCTTGGGCCGAGAGGGATTAATAACCTGGCCAGGCCACAGGTGAGAAGGCAGCTGCCCTCAAGGGCCGCTTCGTGGATTCCTATAACGTGGGGATGAGGCTTTGCACATTAGGGGGTTGGAGGGGGGTGCCAGAATCCCAGCCAGGACTGCAGGGTCTTCCTGGAAAGTCACCCCCACCCCCAACACTCAGTGTCTTCCCTTTGAAAATAAAAACTTGATCCAAGTCCATTTCAGTTTAAAATTTCATCGAGAGAACACTCTGATAATTTGGTTAACTGGTTTCAAAAGCTTGGAGATTTTGTCCCAGTTAGAACTGAAGGAGTAGATGATTTTAAAAAGTGAAGGCTAAGATCTTTGGTCTACCTGGCCCTTCCTCCTTAATTTTGTGTGCAGTTCAGCAAGTTTAGTGCGGTTTGTTCTGCTTCAGGGTTCTGGCTTCTGTTATAAAACAAGGATAACTAGATGTTTGGTGTCGGGGGTGTTAGATGATCCTCTGTCCCCACCTGAGATCAGTGAAGTTGCTCGAGGCTCACAATAGGAGGAAGAGCTTGTGTTTCCATGTTACCACTGAACTCTTTCTCGAAAAAATAGGAGTGATTTTTTCCCCCTAGAGATTACGTCCTGACACCCTAAAATAGAGTTCCCCTCCAGCAAATGGGCCATGTTTGCAGTACACTTTCTGCCTCCTGGCAAAATTGTGAAATCAAGTCTAATACCTGTCCAGTTCCTTAGGACTCATCTAGAGTATCATTTGATTTCCCCAGAGAGGGGGTGGGAGGTAGGTGGGGGCAGAGGCTTGGAGTGAGGCTGGCTTGCCATTGTGTCCACTTGTTCCTCTGTGGCTTCCTCTCTCTCTGTGTCGCTTTTCTAATCCATGCAGTGGAGTCTGTTGAGTTGTTCTGAGGATTTAAATGAGAAAACGTGCATGTAGCATGTGGACTCCCAATGCCAGCCACAAGGCGTCAGTCATATCTCTGGCGGGAAACTGTATGTGTTAGGATTAAATTCTTTTTTTCAGAGTCCCAAATAATAGTCCTTTGAACACGACAGACTTGATCCTTCTCCTAGGATCTTTGTTCTGTCTCACAAAGTCCTCTGAGCTCTAGGAGTTCTCTTTGCTTCACTTTTTGGAGGCTTTATTTCCAAATTACTTCACAGTCTAGAAGGCTGCTCCAACTCCACCCATCACATCTGCTTTCCAGCCAGCAGGAGGGAATACAAGAGGAAGAAGAAAACCACAAATGTACATACAAGCTATCTCTTAAGGAGATTATGAGAGGCTGTTGCCCAACACTTAAAATTTATATCCCACTGATGGGAACTTAGTGATGTAGCCACAGTTGGCTGCAAGAAGTCTGGAAAATGTATTTTTTATTTTGGGCAGCCAGGTACCCAGCTAAGAGTCAAGTTTTCAAGGGTCCTCTAACAACAGGAGAAGGGGGATGAATATTGGGGTACACCTGGTGTCTCTGCTCCAGATGGGCAGGAAGAGACTGCACCCCATGTTGTTTCCCTTTCCTATTTTCCTTTAGCCCCGCCCAACACTGTTAACCCTCAAATGCCCAGGCCCTCCCTCAGGTGGCCCCTGGAACTCCAGACTTTTCCCAGCTGCCTCACCCCTTTCACCCCCCAGGCCTGGCTCTCAGCCCTGATTATAAAGTGGCCACATTTGTAAGTGAGTACATTTTGGGGTGCCTGGCAGTGCTCCTGAATCCTAAAGGGCTGGCTCAAAGAGGAGTGTTTTTAGGCAGAGTGCCCTGGGGGGGGAGTTACCTGGGCTCATGCTCGGAGCATGTCGTCTTCTGCAGGCTCCCCAGGTGAGGCGGCAGAGTGACAGCTGGGGCCCCTGGGGCCAGTGGAGCCCCTGCAGCCGGACCTGCGGAGGGGGCATCAGCTTCCGGGAGCGCCCCTGCTACTCCCAGAGGTACGGAGGCGTGAGGGCAGGCGCAAGGGAGGCTGACTGCTGGGTCGTGGGCTAGGTCACAAGGGCAGAACCACCGAGCAACAGATTCGTTCTGGAAGCAGCGTCAGTGGCGTGTAGGAAATCAGATCACTTCCTGTGTACTGACACTGTGGACCGGAGCACATCCCCTTCAAGTGTCCCTGAGTCTCTAGCTCGAGGCACAGCGGTAAATTGTCATGGAATTAATGACTGATCTTCAGGCAATTCCTAACTCCGGTGGCTTCTCTGCCCTCTGCCTCTTTGTCAAGTACAGGTGTTTGTACTTGACAAGTACATCACCCATTTCAAGTGATTTACTGAGCACTTACTAGGCTGCAGGGGGCAGGTATGAAAGCAGGGGCAGAGCGGCTCTCCGGTCAGTGGGCTTGGCAGCTGCTGGTTCCTGAGTACCCCGTGTGTGAAGAGTAGACCAGGCATTATTCTAAATGCCTTATACTTATTACCGTGTTTCCCCGAAAATAAGACCTACCCATAATATAAGCCCTAGCAGGATTTCTAAGCATTTGCGCAATATAAGCCCTACCCTGAAAATAAGACCTAGCGATGGGCATGGCTACACAGCGAATCTGCACAACCCATGCATTTCCTCATGGAGCGGTAAAGACCAGCAGCCCTTCTCATCTGCCCCATGAGAGCTCTACTGCTCCACATGAGCGATTGGGGCCAATGGTTCTAAAGGAAGTAGAGTCACAAGAAATTCAGGATAGAATTTGGGGTTTGGAGAGTCATGATGATGATCCACAAGAAGACGATTTAACTATATTTGAGTAAATGTAGATTGTTTTACCGTACTTAAAAAAAAAATAACACATCCCCTGAAAATAAGCCCTAGGGTGTCTTCTTGAGGAAAAATAAATATAAGACCCTGTTTTACTTTTGGGGAAACACGGTATCCCTTAAATCGCAGAATAACCTTACCAGGTGGGTACATATCACACCTTTATCTCCAAGGGCAGAACGTGGGTATTCTCTGGAAATTTGCTCTGAGAGCCTGCGGGCCGAGTTAGACAAACCGCAGGACCGTGGGGCTTCTGAGTCTTGCTTCTCCCAAGCACAATCGCGGGGCCTGTCACACCTGCCTTTGGGGGTTTTGTGGGAGGGCACCCCCTCCTCGCCTTGCCGCCCCTCTGGCCCAGCGCTGCCCGCGGGGAGCCCCACGGGAGCTGGGGGGCTGCAGGAGAGCCCCAGGAGGGGGCGGGGGTGTCGAGTCACCGGCCGGGCCTCCCGGTGCTCTGGTCCCGCAGGACAGATGGAGGCTCCAGCTGCGTGGGCCCCACCCGGAGCCACCGCTCTTGCCGCACCGAGGTAAAGCCCCTGGGGCACCCGCTCCCGCAGCCCCTTCCCCCCACCCGGGCTGGGAGCGGGAGCCCTCCCGACGGGGCTGTAGGGAGCCCGGGCTCGGGCGGAGGCGGGGACGGGACGGGACCCAGGCCTGGCTGGCGCGCCCGCGCCTGGCGACCCGTCCCTCGGCCCGCAGAGCTGCCCCGACGGCGCGCGGGACTTCCGGGCCGAGCAGTGCGCGGAGCTGGACGGCGCGGACTTCCGGGGCCGGCGCTACCGGTGGCTGCCCTACTACGGCGGTAAGCGGCCCTCCTGCTGAGCCTACGCCGCGCCGCGTCCTACAAAGTCGCCGGCGTCCCAGCTCGTGCCCGCCGCAGCCCGACACTGGGGACCGGTCTGCGGTCTCGCGCCCGGTCTCCCCGTGCGTGCGTTTGCAGACGGAGCCGCGGCGTGTCTACGCCGTCCGTCGCAAGCCCGCTGTGGTTCAGCCGCGGCCAGAGCGTCCCGCGAGCCGGCGCGGCCGGTTGGCGCCCCCTTGGGCGAACTGGCTTGACAGAGCAAGACCTCGTTTCCCCAGGGCCGGGCGGCTGAGGAGCCGGTCTGGGTGACTCTGAGGCGGCGCGGGTCATTAATGTGTTGGAGAAATGCCGTCCAGGAGAACACCACCAACACGCGTGGAAGTAAAGGGCCTTAGATGAGTCAGAAGATAGACGTTAGGTCAGGATTCGCTGCTCGCTGCAGAGGCCCCTGGAAACGGCAGGGGCTCTGAATCAGTGAGCGCTACCGTCCTGTGTGCCTTCGTCCCCGGAGGGTCTGGGCCTCGGTGGGGGCCTTTGGCATTCAGTCCTCCTCTGGACCCCGAGATCCGCCTGTGTTAGAAATCGCTGAACGGCAGGGTGAGGTGGCTCGTGCCTGTATAATCCTCGCACTCTGGGAGGATCGCTTGAGCTCAGGAGTTCGAGACCAGCCTGAGTAAGAGTGAGACCCCTTCTATACCAAAAATAGAAAAAATTAGCCGGGCATGGTGGCGCATGCCTGTAGTCCCAGCTACTCAGGAGGCTGAGGCAGGAGGATCGCTTGAGACCAGGAATTGGAGGTTGCAGTGAACTATGAAGATGCCACTGCATTCTACCCAGGGTGACAAGAATAAGATCCTGTCTCAAACAAAACAAAACAAAACAAAAAAATTAAAGTATTATCCACATTCCAGAAAAATTGGAACACAGAGGTCTAAAAAGAGCGGTAGGTCTAAAAAGGTCTAAAAACAGTGGTAGAAGATGCCTTCCTTGTTATGGAGATGATTATGATGCTGTTTGCACTTTCTGGCTGTTTAAACAAGGAGCACATATATAGATAAAAATTAAAATAAAAAATTACACTCACCCTGCCTCTTTCACAGGATCACAGCATTTCATTCCAACCCTTTTCACATTACTTTCTCTTATATACGTACGTATTTGTAATTATTACATATCACCATTTTGCATTCTGGATTATAAGCATCTTCCCACATCTTCACAGTCATCATTTTTAACTGCATGGTCCACATGCATAGTATTCTGTTCATAATTTAAAGAGCAGCCCGTTGTTAACACTGAGCCACTGACTGGGCGTGGTGGCTTACACCTTTAATCCTAGCACTCTGGGAGGCCGAGGTGGGAGGATCGCTCCAGTTCAGGAGTTCGAAACCAGCCTGAGCAAGAGCGAAACCCCATCTCTACTAAAAATATGAAGAAATTAAATGGCCAACTACAAATATATAGAAAAAATTAGCCAGGCACGGTGGCATATGCCTGTAGTCCCAGCTACTTGGGAGGCTGAGACAGGAGGATTGCTTGAGCCCGGGAGATTGAGGTTGCTGTGAGCTAGGCTGACGCCACAGCACTCTAGCCTGGGCAACAGAGTGAGACTCTGTCTCAAAAACAAAACAAAACAAAAACCTGAGCCATTGTAAGTAAGGCTGAGGTAGACCTCTGTTAAGTGCGTCACTTTTTCTCTTTCTGGGATTTTCTTTTACTTGACCCTAGAGGAGCAGCAGCAGGTTCAGGGGAACGTCCTTTCTCCCCGGTATGGGAGTGGGGATCTGTGCCCCTCGGGCTGCTTCCCTGGCGCCAGGACAGGCTTTGGGCCCTGGGCAGGGGCCTCGTGGACCCTTGAGATCAAAGCCTTCCCCTCTTGTCCACACCAGCCCCAAACAAGTGTGAGCTGAACTGCATTCCCAAGGGGGAGAACTTCTACTACAAGCACAGGGAGGCTGTGGTCGACGGGACCCCCTGTGAGCCTGGCAGGCGGGACGTCTGCGTGGACGGCAGGTGTCGGGTAAGTTGTGTCCAGCACTGTCCCCCTCCTGCTGGCTGGGGACTTAGTGTGGGTGTCTCCCTGCCCAGCACCAGCAGGGCCAGGTGGCTGTCGTAAGCTCAGTGTCTTCTCAAGTTACCAGGACACTAAGCCTAGATCCTAGAGTGCCTTGCAGCCATCACAGGTGCTCTGTGACGCCCTTGCCTTTGTCCTTTGAGAACACTATCCCCACCCAGACAAGCCTGTGGGTGGCATGTTACAGAAACCCAGCTAAAACTGAATCCAGAAAAAACAAACGTTGAGGGATGGCCATAGGTACTGAACGATGATCTGGAAAGTCTCTCCTCTGTCTCCGAGTCAGGGTCAGGTAGGCTTTTGCTGTGAGTCGTGAGGGCGGCTCTGGGCTTCTGCTGTGCCAGCCTGACAACTCCCAGGGCCTCGTTCCCGGGAGTTCCAGCAACCCGGAGTTGCCTCTGGCTTGGCTTGGGGCTCACCCTGAGCTTGCCTGAACCCACATTCGGGGAGCTCCATCCACGTTCTATGGGAGAGAGGTGGCCCCAAAGGAAAACAGGGTGTAGTTACCAGAGAGATGGGGAGACAGGAGCAGAACAGGCAAACGAATATATCGTCAGCCACAGGCCAGATCCAAGGCTTACGCGGCCACTCCGAGCTTGCGACTGACTGTGTGACGCCTGATCACCCTGTCCTGCCGGGGCTGCGCAGGCGCTGGAGTTAGGACAGGCTGCCTGGGGCCTGGATCCTGGTATGTCCGTGACGTCACCTATGACTCCCGGCAGGTTGTCGGCTGTGACTACCAGCTAGACTCGTCCAAGCAGGAGGACAAGTGTCTGCAGTGTGGGGGTGACGGCATGACCTGCTTCCCTGTCACAGGCACCTTTGATGCCAATGACCTCAGCAGAGGTGGGGGCCCCCATGAGGACAGCACACAACAGGGTCTATTGCCTGCCCCTTCCTTGCCTGTCTCCCCTTCTGGCTGAGGCTCCGGGCCAAGTGGCCTCATGCCACCCAGAGGGTGTGTCTGGCTCAGGTCCTGTCTAAAAGCCCCCTGTGGTCTCAGGGTGGAGGCCATGCTCTTTAGTTAGGACCCTTGTCCGCTAGTCTGGTCTAACCTCATCCTGCCGCCACCTGATGTCCCTCCTGTCTGCTCCGCATGTCTGAGCCTTCCCGTCCCTCTGGCCTTCATAAAGCTGTTCCCTCTGCTAGGAACACTGGTCCCCAAGCCCGGGCCCTGCCGGTCTCCTGCTTGTCCTCCCTGGCCCCAAGCTGTGCTGCCCACACTCACGCCCACAGGGATAGCTCAGCACCCCGACGCCCCCTCTCTGCCCCGCCAGGCTACAACCAGATCCTCGTTGTCCCCATGGGGGCCACCAGCATCCGCATAGAGGAGGTCGCTGCCAGCAGGAATTTCCTGGGTGAGAGCGGCGGGCGGGTCCTGGTGGGTTTGGGGCTGTGGGGGTGGCGTGCTCCCACCCTCCCCAGCTGACTAGGGCCGTCTCACCCGTGCACAGCGGTAAAGAATGTTCAAGGGGAATACTACCTCAACGGACACTGGACCATCGAGGCAGCTGGGGCCCTGCCAGCGGCCAGCACCATCCTGCAGTACGAGCGGGGCTCTGAGGGGGACCTGGCCCCTGAGCGGCTGCGTGCCCGGGGCCCCACCTCGGAGCCCCTGGTCATCGAGGTGAGCTGGGCCGTGGGGGGAGAGAACCAGTGGGGGGCCCATGGGCCCCGGAGCCATCAGGCCCTGCGCACAGGCTGAGGCTGGGCAGGGGTGGGGGTGCCCTGGCAGCAGACCTCCAAGAGGACCCTCCGTGGCAGCTCCTCAGCCAGGAGCTCAACCCCGGCGTGCACTACGAGTACTACCTGCCCCTGCGCACCCCCGGTCCCGGCCCCCGCTGGAGCCATGGCTCCTGGAGCGACTGCAGCGCCCCGTGTGGCGGAGGTGAGGGTGCAGACGGCTCAGGTGGGGGAGTGGGCCAGGTGCCACGGTCAAAGCGGGGCAGGCCACGGCCCTTATTCAAGCAGTCTTTGGGGCAGACTGACAAGTAGGTGAGAAATCTGTATGTTGTAGGATCCTCTGGGGGAAGACCCTGGGATCTGGGAGCTCCACCAGGGCCTGAGCTAGGAGAACTGGGAGGCTTCCCAGAGGCAGTGGCATCTCCCAGGAGACAGTACCCCACTGGGGGTGCAGGCCAGGCCTGCAGCCGGGACCAGGGGTCAGCAAGGCTCTATCACTCACAGCTAAAAGTGTTTGAGCCTCAGTTTCCTCATCTGCAAATTGGGGATGATGATGGCGGCACCTGCCTCAGGGGGTCATTTGAGACTTAATTGAGATGACCTGTGGGATGCGTCCAGGATGGCACCTGGCCCAGAGAACGCACTTGGCGTTTGGTGAACGTTGCCTCCGCTCAGGTCACCAGTCCCGCCTGGTGTTCTGCGCCGTCGACAACGAGGCCTACCCCGACCACGTGTGCCAGCGCGAGCCCCGGCCGGCTGACCGCCGTTCCTGCAACCTGCACCCGTGCCCGCTGACCAAGCGGTGAGGCCTCATCAGCCCCTGCACCCCGGGAGGCCCGGGAGCTTGGGTGGGAAGGGAAGAACAAAGAGGGCGGGTGGCCCTGGGCTCCCCACACCTGTGGCCAGGGGTCGGGGTGGCAGCTGTCACTGCGGGAGGCAGTGAAGGGCCTGAGCATGAGGTCTAGGGGGCCATTCTCTCTGTGTGTGGATGAAGTACTCAGAATGACCAAGCTGGTGGCAGGAGGGTCAGGGAAGGTACCAGAGGTCCCCATCTGTCCCAGCTAGTCCCACCAGCAAGAGGCTTGGCTGGTCAGGTGCCGAGGGGTGGGCCAGGGTCAGGCCAAAGGGCCTGTTGGCATTGGCAACGCCTTTGTTCGTGCACAAAGGACCTCTTACCTGCACCGGCCCGGAGCGTGGCGCCTTGCTGGGGCCCAGCGTGTGTGTGGGACCAGGTAATCCACGGGCCAGGGGCTCCCCGCAGGGCTGCTGCTGTTCTGCCCCCACTGGGCCTCGGTGGCAGCTGGCCTCAGGGAATGGTGGCGGGCTTGGCTTTGCATGGTGTGGCTGGGACCGCCCTTTCCTCCGGGCCTTGCACCGGGCAGGGCTGCTCCAGGCACAGGTGAGCACAGCCCCTCAGGAGACACTCTGCTAAGGCCAGACCCGGAGGGAATGGGGTCTGCCTGGGGAGACGGGACGTGGTGAGAAGAGGGGGTACTGGGCGAGGACAGCACAGCGGGGGAGCAGCTGGCACAGTGGAGAGGACGCAGGGAGGGCCGGGGACTTTGTGCAGGCCCGATGTTCAGGGAACAGGCCAGGCGGGGGCCTCGGGCCCCTCCTGTGTGGGGCTGATTGATGCCCCCTCGGGCTGGGCTTCCGCTCCTCCTGGGCCGGCCTCACCCAATCCCCACTCCTGCCAGCTGGAGGACAGGGCCGTGGACTCCCTGCTCGGCCTCCTGCGGGGGCGGCTCCCAGTCCCGCTCCGTCTACTGCATCTCGTCTGACGGGGACAGCATCCAGGAGGCTGCCGAAGAGGCCGAGTGTGCTGGCCTGCCCGGGAAGCCCCCTGCCACGCGGGCTTGCAACCTGCAGCGCTGCGCGGCCTGGAGCCCAGAGCCCTGGGGAGAGGTGAGGCCGCTGGCTTGGACGGGCTCGGGCTTTGTCCTCTGCTGTGGAAACTGAGATCCTGGGGGGCCCAGTGACCGACCAGGTCGTCTTGGAATCTGTGGCCAAGGCTGAGGCCAGAAGCAGGTACCTGCATCCTGGTCTTTGGGTGCTTTCTCCCCCTCTGGGATCCCAGGGCAGGGCGGGAAGAAGCTGGCTGTGTCGTCTGGGGCCAGCGGGGGGCCAGCAGTGTCTGGGAGTGCTAGCTGGTGCAACTGTGTACGTTCAAGCTATGAACGAGGGGACATGGAGAACACCCCTGTCTGTTGTCAGCAGCCATGGTTCAGCCTATGTGACCCCAGGGGAGTGACTCAGCCTCTCTGGGCCTGGGAGGAGGTCTTGGGCAGTAGGGTGCTGCCCACCTCCATGCAGGGCTCCTCTGGGTGGAGGCGAGCTCTTGCTGACAGCCTGGTCCTTGCAGTGTTCTGTCAGCTGCGGTGCTGGGGTCCGAAGGCGGAGTGTCACTTGCCGAGGTGATGGGGGGTCCCTGCTCCATGCCACGGCGTGCCCCTTGGAGGAGCAGCCCCCGCTCACTGAGCCCTGCGTGCATGAGGACTGTCCCCTCCTCGCTGGCCAGGCCTGGCTCGTTGGCGCCTGGGGTCTGGTGAGTGCCCCGTGCCTGCCGCCCAGCGCTGGGTCCTTGGGTCCCACGTGCAGCTGTCTTTGGATCTGACGCTCGTCACTAGATGCCTTCCCTTCCTTCTCTCCACGTGGGTGCCTTCCCCTCCCTGTCTCCCCGTGGGCACCCCAACCCCAGCCTCAGGGTCTCTCTCTCCCACTTATGGGCCTCAGTGCTCCAAGAGCTGCAGCTCGGGCACTCGGAGGAGACAGGTCGTCTGTGCCGTCGGGCCGCCCGGCCGCTGTGGGAGCCTGCAGCCCTCGAAGCCCGCAGAGGTGGAGCCCTGCAACACGCAGCCCTGCCACCTGCCCCAGGGTAAGAACAGAAGGGGCAGGGAGAGGAGCCTGGGGCCACCTCTCCCCCACTCACTGACAACCCAGCAGCCTGCACCTGGTCAGCCACCGGGACCAACGCTCCCCTCGTCTCCACCCACGACACCCTTGCCAGCCAGAGAGGTTGTGTGCAGAGAGGTTGTGTGCAACCTCGAGAGCCAGGCCCGTTTCTTCCACTCAGAAGTAGCATCTTCCTCTTGGCCCCACCCCTCACGGCATGTCTTTTCTGTGTCACTTGGATTGTATATGGCTAGTTAGACCTACTAGCTAGGCGTTTGAGGGCTGGGTCCCTGACATCCTTATTCCTCCTTATACTCCCTGCAGAATTTACCTTGCATGGGCAGGTACTGGGGAAATGTTTGTTGAGTGACTGAGTGACTGCGTGCAGAGGGAGAAAGGAGGTCCAGGAAGGCTTGTGCTCACACACTGCTTCTGCCACGGTCTCCTCCGCCCCTCATCCCCATCCTACTGGGAAAGGAGGCCTCCCAGGCACGAGGACCTGCAGGAGAATGGGCAGGGAGGCTGCCTTGCTTGGTGTGAGCAGGGGACGTTGAGGAAGGGCGCGGGATGTGCCTGGACTGGGGGCGGCGGAGGGCTGGCCTTCTGAGGCTGCAGAGAGGTGTGTCTGGCCTTGATGTGCTAGTGAGAGGGACTCTGTGAGCTGTAGGGACCCCGAGGTGAGGGAGGGCAGGATTCCAATCGAGGCACGTGGCAGGGTGGCAAAGAACCGGGGGGCTTGAAGTCAGCAGCAGACTGAGTTCGTTCAAATGCGCTCACTCCACTGCCGACCGTGTGGCCTGGGCGGGTGCCTCCTGTCTGATCCCCAGTTTGCCCATCTGTACAATCAGTTATTAATAAAAAAAAAAAAGAGTGACTTTTAGCTAGGTGCGGTGGCACACGCCTGTAGTCCCAGCTACATGGGAGGCTGAGGCAAAGGGATCGCTTGAGCCCAGGAGTTTGAGGCTGCAGTGAGCTATGATCATGCCACTAAGTCTAGCCAGGGCAAGAGAGCAAGACCTTGTCAAAAAAAAAAAAAAAAGTGACTTTCTACGTGTGTGGAATAAAGTGACTTTCTGAGCACATGGAGTGTGCAGGGAAAACACAAGGTGGACAGTGGTGGTGGCGAGGCTGTGCGGGGAAGCCTGGCCCTGTGCCCTCCCAGTGGCTCTGGCGCTGCCCCGGCCTGGCCTCACACTCGGCAGCAGGGCGGACCCTGGACTCCGGGGTCCAGCTCTGGGCAGAGCCGCTCTGCTCCCCTGGGCCCTGGGTGCCTTCAGGTCCTGAGCCTGCCCCAGGGACAGGTAGGATTCACATAGAAAGGAGGGAAAAGAAAAGAGAGTTTCAGGCCAGGCTGAGTTGTAAAAGCAAAAACTTTTATCACTATTCTTTTTCTTTTCTAACACATCTATTTTCCCCTTTTTAATTGATATGTGATCATTGTACATGTTTATGGGGGTATATGTGATATTTGATACATGCATAGAATGTATTAATTTGTAAAATTTAGGATATCCATCACTTCAGACATTCATCATTTCTCTGTGTTGGGATTATTTCAACTCCTTGAGCTATTTTGAAATATACAATATATTGTTAACTATAGCTGCCCTACTATGCTATTGAACACGAGAACTCATTCCTGTCTAACTACATGTTTGTACCCATTATCCAACCTCTCTCCATCTTCCCCCGGCCCCTGCCAGGCCCTGGTAACCGCTATTCCACTCCCCACCCCCGGGGTCCACTTTTCTACCTCCCACGTGCGGGTGATGAGTGAGAACACGCAGTCTGTGTCCTCTGGGCCTGGCGTATTGCCATATGGCCTCCAGTTCCATCTGCTGCTGCACATGACAGGATTTCATTCTGTTTAGTGGCTGAACAGTATTCCGTTGTGTGCAGACACCACATTCTCCTTATGCGTTTATCCACTGACCGACACTCGCGCTGGTTCCATGTCTTGGCTGTCGTGCGTGGTGCTGCAGTAAACATCCGGGTCTCCCTTTGATAAGACTGATTTCCTTTCCTTTGGATGAATATCCAATAGTAGGATTGGTGTTTGTATAGTAGTTTTTTTTTTTTGTTTTTTTTTTTTTTGAGAAACCTCCATACTGTTTTCTATAATGACTCTACTAATTTACATTCCCAGGAACCGTGTATGAAAGTTCCCTTTTCTTCTGTATCCTCACCCGGCATTTGTTACTGTTTGTCTTTTTGATAACAGCCATTCTAACTGGGGTAAGATGGTATCTCATTGTGGCATTGTGGTTTTGATTTGCATTTCCCTAATGATCAGTGAGGTTGAGCATTTTTTCACATATCTGTTAGCCATTTGTATGTTGTCTTTTGAGAAATGATTACTCATGTCCTTTGACCACTTTTTTTTTTTTTTTTTTTGAGACAAGCATCTCGCTGTGTTGTCCGGGCTAGAGTGCCGTGGTGTCAGCCTAGCTCACAGCAGCCTCAGACTGCTGGGCTCAAGCAATCCTCCTGCCTCAGCCTCCCGAGTAGCTGGGAATACAGGCATGTGCCATCATGCCTGGCTAATTTAAAAATTTTTTTTTTTTTTTTTTTGTTGAGAACAAGGTCTTTGCTTTGTTGCCCAGTCTGGTTGCAAACTCCTGGTCTCGGGCAATTCTCTCACCTTGGCTTCCCAACATGCTAGGATTATGGGCATGAACCCTTTGCTTATTTTTTAGTGGGATGATTTGTATTTTTGCTGCTGTTTGAGTTCTTTGCATATCCTAGACATTAGTCTTTGTTTCTAATTTTATTTAGGTCTTTTCTCTGTTTTTCTTGTTCTGTTTATCAATTTTTAGAAAATATTTTTCATAAACCGACCAGGGCAGGCTTGTCCTCAAGCCCCTTAATGGTACATGGGTGACAGTGGTACTTGGATGGTGCATGTGGGTGGCGGTGGCAGTGGCTGCTGTTCTTGTAATTTATAAGAGTGATGTATGCTCGTTGTGGAAAATTTGGAGAAATTAGAAGAGAAACCTGAAGAAATGGAAGAGAGGAGTCACACAAGGTGGTGGAGCCAGATGGCGGGACAGGCTTGGCAGAGGTGCTTTATGCTTGAGGTGACAAGGGACAGTAGGCGGAAATGGCCAGGCTGGGGACTGAGTGCAGGGCCAGGGGAATGTGGGCTTGTCGGTGGGAGTTGACAGATCTGGGAAGAGTCCGAATCACGCCTGTCCCAGGTTTGGGCTCCTGTGAAGAAATAAAATGAAGATGTCACTACATATCTTTTGGAGTCTTCAGCCCTTAATTACTATTTTTCATATTCCCCAGGACTGGCAAGATGTAGTCCGTGTAGGAATGAAATAGTCATTTATTGTATTCTTTATAACTTGTATGAATCAAGTATAGTCATAGTAATATGCTTGTTGTGGAAAATTTGAAAGACATTAACAAATAGAAGGAAAGGATACCCTCTTCCCCTGAAGAACTCAGAAACTTTATGAGCATTTTAGGGTGTGTCCTGCAAGTTTCCCCTTATGTATCATTTTTTTAAAAATTCTGTTGTTCTGATTTTTTCTATTCGGTTTTCTACATTTTTTTTTTTTTTAATTGGCGATGAAACAGGGTCTTGCTCTGTCACCCAGGCTGGAGTGCAGTGGTATAATCATAGCTTACTGCAGCCTCCAACTCCTGAGCTCAAGGGATCCTCTTGCCTCAGCCTCCTGAATAGCTGGGACTACAGGCGCGTGCCACTACGCATGGCTAATTTATTTTTATTTTTTGTACAGATAGGGTCTTACAGTGTTGCCCAGGCTGGTCTCAAACTCCTGGGCTCAAGCAATTCTCCCACCTTGATCTCCCAAAGTGCTGGAATTACAGGTGTGAGCCACTGCACCCAGCCTTATTCTGTCTTTTTGATTATTATAGACATCCTAGTGGGTGTGAAGTGGTATCTCATTATGGTTTTGATGTATTTCACTAATAGGTTTTATTTTCCTAATGATTAATGATGTTGAAAATCTTTTCATGTGCTTTTTGGCCATTTGTATATCTTTGGAGAAATATTTATGTTCTTTGCCCATTTTTTAATGGATTTCTTTTTATCAATACAATAAGAAATGTATATACCATATTTTGTTTTGTGTGGCTGGGATCATAACATAGATGTTAACTCTATACGTGGCACTTCTTCTTGCTGTACGTGTAACCTTAGCATTTTCTATGTGACTATAAGACTCTTCTGAAATGTGGCCAGGTGTTCACGAAATCACAGGTCCTGCTCCTTTTCCCTGGTGCTGTTCCGGGTCTGGGGGTCCTGCCTGAGCAGTGGGGTGGGAGCACCTGGGCAGGGCTGGCCACCACTCGGGCCCATGCTCTCTCCTTCCCTCCGCGTCCCCACGGCTGCCCGGCTCCCTGCAGAGGTCCCCAGTACGCAGGACGTGCACACCCCGCTTGGTGATCCCTGGACACCTGTGAGCCCTCGGGAGCCCCCTGCCTCAGGTGAGAAGCTCGGTCGCAGCCCCTACCCAGGGCCCCAGCATCTTGGGATGGTCCCTGGAGGTGGAGGTCAAGGGCGGGTGCAATGATGGCCGAGGGGAGAGTGGTCTGGGGAGATGGACGTGGTACGACGTGGACGTGGATGGAGCAGGCTGGATGCATCGGATGTATTTTGCTTCCTCTTTCTAGACTCCAGAGGCCAGTGGTGGGCAGCCCAGGAGCACCCTTCAGCCCGGGGAAACCCCAGGGGAGACCGGGGTTCCCCCCTGTCGGCCCCGGGCCCGGCCCCAGCTCTGCAGCAGTCCCTGCTCCGACAGCGCCCCCAGTCCGGCTCGGGGCCCCATGACTGCAGACGCAGCCCCCACGGCTGCTGCCCCGACGGCCACACGGCGTCTCTCGGGCCGCAGTGGCAAGGCTGCCCTGCCTCGTGTCAGCAGAGCAGGTGGGTGCTGGAGGCTGCTCTTCCTCCTCCCCAGGGTAGCAAGGGCAGGCGGGCGGGTGATGGGCTGGGGAAGGCGTAGGGCAGGTCACGGAGCTCAGGACAAGGATTGCTGGGCGTCTCTGGGCTGCCCTGTCGGTGAGCTCTCAGGACTCGGCTCCTCTCGCTGAGCTCCGTGATGTGTGCCGAGTGGAGACAAGCCCCTGCCTTCTCCGCAGAAGTCAGCATGTCGATTCTAGCTCTCCGATCTAACCCAGGCTCGGGGGAGCCAGCATAAACGCTGGACAGAGGCTGACCAGTCCCTAGCAATCTTCCCAACAGCCCCACCCAGTCCAGCCTTGCAGAGGGGGCCTGAGCCATCCCACCCCCACCACGTGCCCTCCCTGTGGCTCTCCTTCCATGGCCTGCCCTGGACGCCTCTCTGGCATGTGCCCTCAGAGACTGGGGTGCTAAGGGCCCAGGCCTGTGGCCGGCAGCCTGGGGGGAGGATTCCCAGTTCAGCCACTTACCAGCTATGTGCTTGGTGACTTGGGGCAAGTTACTTAACCTCTCTGATTTTCTTCTTCTGAAAATGAGGAACAATGACAACTGCTGGATGGTGTTATTGTGAGGATGAGATCAGAGTGCCTGGCACGTAGAAGGTGCTTTGATACAATCCTTCACCTGGCTCCCAGCACCAGGTGGATGTGAAATAAATGGGCTCTTTGAACTCCCTTTTCTCCTGTCTCCCATCTGCTGCTATTTTGTAAAATCTCCCTGGGGAGCTGATATCTGGGCAGACTCAGATGAGTTCCCTGTTGGCGTGTGGTGGGACGTGTGAGTGAGGACCTGTCGACTTTGGGGCACAGCCTCTGCTCATCGTGCCACCGTTGGTCTCCCTGGTGGCTGCTGCATGTTGGTGGACGTGGGCAGAGACTGGGGCACACAGAGTGATGTCCCTGTGTGCAGGCACATGTCCTCGCCCACCTGGGTCTCACCCCTGATCAGCGCCCAGTGCAAGGAGTCCCAGAGCTTGGGTCCTGGGGTGCTGGAGGCTCAGGCACAGGGGTCCCTGGAGGGGTGGGGGCCGGGGCCGGGCAGTAAGGGAGGCCATGTGGTGTCTGCCTAGGTACGGGTGCTGCCCGGACGGGGTGTCTGTCGCTGAGGGGCCCCACCATGCTGGCTGCTCAAGGTCTTACGGTGGAGGCAGTGACAACGCGGGGAGCAGGCCAGGGTCGAGGGCAGTGGCTTCCACAGTGAGTGTGTGACTTCCGTGAGGGGGGGGGCAGGATTCCAGCCCTGGCCTGCTCAGTGTCACTGTGACCCCAGATCTCTGCAGCTTTAGCCTCGGAGAAAGCAGGTCCCTGCCGGCCTGGGTCATCCTTTCGAGAGCTCAGGGCTTCCATGATGGGCCTGGGCTGGAGCTAGGGGTTCTCCTGGCTCTGCCCCCCCCCCCATGGGGGCGTGCACCTTGGCCTTGCAGTTCTGCCCCTTCCCTCTTCCTGCCATGCTTCCCCAGGCAGCCCAAAGTCCCCACCAGGAGCCAGACCTGGAGCTGACTTCCTAATCCTGGGACTCCCCCTAGGTCCCCAGCACACACCGGCCCCAGGCCCAGCAGAGCGAGCAGGAGCCCAGTGAGCCCAGTGAGTGCCGGGGCTCCCGGTTCGGCTGTTGCTATGACCACGGGGCCTCTGCGGCAGGGCCCCTGGGGGAAGGCTGCGTGGGCCTGCCCAGCTCTGGTGAGTGCATGGTGCTGGTGGTTCCCACACCCAGCAGGCGTCTGGCTGCTGCGGGAGCTGGGGACAGTTGCAGGGTAGGAGGCTAAGGAGGAGGAAGGCCCGTCCTCTCCCCTCCTAAGGCAGAGCCCATGCAGAGTGGTCAGTGCCAGGATGGACAGGGGCGGGGCCCCAACCCTAGGATGTGTGTGGGCCAGCAGGGACTGTCACGGGACCGTCACGGGGACCTCACAAGCCAGGCTAGGGCTGGTGATCAGGGCTCTGCAGGAGGCTGGGCAGCCGGGCCGCAGCTGTGGTACCGTCTGAGTGCAGAGAGATGAAGCAGGACATGCTGGCGGGGAGTGGGGAGGTGGGTGCAGAGGCATCTTTGTAGGCAGGGCTGGGCTCTGGGCTCCCCAAGTGCACTCTGGGGGGGACCGTGGCAGGGAGGGGCAGGGGCTGAGGGGCCTGGCAGCCCTGGCCCGAGCACTGTGGTTTGGTGGGTGGAGGCTGCTATGGACCCAGCCTGGGTAGCTCTGGGCAGTGGCCAGACTCTGGTGGAAGGTCCTGTGCCCCAGGCCCAGGTGAGGGGCCGGGCAGTGGGCACACATGCTCTGTGAACAGGGGAGGGCCCGGCTGCTGAGGCCGAGGTGGAATTGGGTGCAGCTTTGTTACGAGCACCTCGGTGATGTGTATCCCGCCCCGCCCGCAGCCTACCCTGTGCGCTGCCTGCTGCCCAGCGCCCACGGCCCCTGCGCGGACTGGGCCGCCCGCTGGTACTTCATTGCCTCCGTGGGCCGGTGTAACCGCTTCTGGTACGGCGGCTGCCACGGCAACGCCAACAACTTCGCCTCGGAGCAGGAGTGCATGAGCAGCTGCCGTCCCCGGCCTGGGGCCTCTGGCCAGAGCACGGGTGCAGATGGTGGTGGCAGCAGTCCTGGCGGCCAGCAGGAGCTCAGCCGGCACGGGACGGGGCCCACAGTCCAGAGAAAGCCCGTGCCTTCTGGCAGCCCCTGGTGGCGAGACCAAGAGCCTGGGCCAGGGGCAGCCCCCCGTGCCCCCGCCTTTGGAGAACAGCTGTGGGGCCAGGAGCTTGGGCCCAGGGCCCCGGGACAGGACGGGGATGCCGGATGGCCAGCGTCCCCCTCGCACAGCTCCTCCTACAGGTGAGGCCTGCCGTCCCCAGGTAGAGGCGATAGGATGCCAGGCCAGGGGCGAGCCAGCCTATTGGAGCCAAAACCCTGAAGTCACCAGCCCTCCTCTCCTCCCTTAACTTCTGCTCCCAGGCAGCCCTGCCTGGGCCTTGCGGCCTGCGTTGTCCAGATGGGGAAGACGAGGCTTCAGACGTAGGGCTTGTCCGGGGTCTAATAGACATCTGTGGACAGTGGCTCCCGGGTTCTCCGTCAGGTCTTGCCAGTGTACCCCACAGCCCATCTAGCTGGAAAAGCTAACCAGCTTCGAAACCTTTGGCATGTCACCCAGCTTCTCCAAGTCTCAGTTTCTTGCCCTGTCAATGGTGACATCATCTGCCGCCCTGTGTATCTTGCAGGTTTGGGGCGGGTTCCATTCGTTATTACTCTCGGGGCTGCGTCCTACTAATGAGGGATTTGGGAAGATTAAAGACAAAATTAAAAGGTTTAACTTCCCCAGGGGTCTAGCGTGTAGTTTAGTCCCTGTAGCCCCACATGAATCTGGTATGTGCTGTTCCTCCCCAGCTCCTCCACCTGTCCCCTGGGCTCGGTGCCAGTGCCGACCTTGTTGCTGTCTCCAGAGCGGCTCGAGGTGGCGATGCCTGGGGTGTGGCGGGCGGAAAGCTTGAGGAGGGCGGATTCCTGAGTCTGAGGCTGCTGGAGCTTGGCCTCCCTTGCGACCCTCTGGCTCCGAGAGTAACTGTGACAAGATGGGCACCAAGCCATCTGTCGTGGGACACACCACTTGGGGATGGTCCTGGTCCTGCCACTCGTGCCAGCAGGTAGCTCTTTACCTCCCACCTCTCCAGGGTTAGCTTGGCAAGCTCAGAGCCCACCCTGGTGCAGGCGGCCCCGGGGCAGTTGGTGCGGCTCCTCTGTCCAGAGGACACCTCCCCAGAACCCCAGGCTGGGTGGCAGAAAGATGGCCAGCCCATCTCCTCTGACAGGTGTGTATGACGGCCTCCTCCTTCCTCCGACAGGTGTGACAGCCTCCCCCTCTTCCTCCCCTCCTCTGACCAGTGTGTGTGACAGCCCTCCCCCATCTGACAGGTGTGTGTGTGGCAGCCCTCCCCCCATATGACAAGTGTGTGTGGCACACCCCCCCCCACATCACAAAAGTGTATATGGCACACCCCCCCCCACATCACAAAAGTGTGTGTGTGGCACACCCCCCCCCACATCACAAAGGTGTGTGTGTGGCAGCCCTCCCCCCATCTGACAGGAGTATGCGTGTGTGGCAGCCCTTCCTTGCAACAGCCTCCCTAGTGTCCCCTGGGGTGGGAGATGAGTGGGCACGGAGCGCTCTGGGGGCACTGCGGTCCTGGCAGGAGCACTGGGGCCTGAGAGAAGACCATTGTTGCCCTCAGGCTCCCAGAGCCCACGTCTCCCCGACCCCATTCAGGCACAAGCTGCAGTCCGATGGCTCCCTAGTCATCCACCCGCTGCGGGCAGAGGATGCGGGCACCTACAGCTGTGGCAGCACCAGGCCAGGCCGTGACTCCCAGAAGATCCAGCTTCGAGTCCTAGGTCTCCCTGCCCCATCCCCTGCTGGATTCTCACAGGCCCTAGAGTAGAAGGGACAGGATAGGGGGCCTGAGAGGCTGGGCTGCCCCACACTAGTGGGGCCTAGGGTGCTTCTTTGGGTCAACTTCCCCTGGAGGCAGGGGCAGCCCCGTGGTCCTCATTTCTTCACACATTTCCAGCTGGCCTTGCCTCATGGCCCAGCCTTCCCTCCACTCCCTTCTCCCCAGAGCTCACCCCTTGCTTCTCCTGGCCTCACGACAGGGGGTGACATGGCCGTGCTGTCTGAGGCTGAGCCGAGGCACTTCCCTCACACCCGAGACCCAGCCCAGGGCCACAGTCCTCAGGACTCAGGCGTAGGGAGGGATGCTGGGCACCTGGGAGCTGTCCCCTCCTCACACCTGCGGCCCACAACCAGGTAACAGTCAGCAATGCCATCCTGCTCTCGGCTGCTCCCCACCAGAGGGCCAGGGTGGATGGGATCGGATTGGTGGGTAAGAGGAGGGGAAGGCGTGTGCTGTGGCCAGGCCTTGCGGGCCCCTGCTCGGGTCTTCTGGGGGAGCAGCTGGGAACGGTGCAGCTCCACATGGCCGGGTACTTGGGACTGGGAACTGAGTGGAGGGAGAGCTTCAGAGCTAGAGGGTGGAGATGGCTTCTTGGAGGAGGGTGTGGCGCTGGCCTTGAGGGGATGGTTCCACTTACAGGGTGGGTGTGCCCACGTCAAGGAGCTAGAGGCAAATGTGCAGGGCGGGGAGGAGACACAGAGACGCTGGGTGCTGGGTGCGTCTGGCCACCCATGCGTGTGCGGAGGGAGCCTTAGGCTTCACCCCAGGTAGTTATTGATGGGGTCCTAACCAGAGCAAGGCGGTGACTTTAGGAAGCTTAATCTGGCTGGAGGGGGAGAAGGGCCCTGAGGCTGTGCAGGGGTCCCCATGGGCACAGGGGGCAGCAAAGGGGCCCCTCATGCTGGGGGCTGTTTGTTCTGCAGGCTGCGTCTGGACCGGAACCAGCCCGGGGTGGTGGACGCCAGTCCAGGCCAGCGGATCCGGCTGACCTGCCGTGCTGAAGGCTTCCCGCCCCCAGCCATCGAGTGGCAGAGAGATGGGCAGCCCGTTTCTTCTCCCAGGTTCATTCCACTGCCCCTTCCCCAGGCCCATCCCATCTGATTTGAAGGCCAGCAGGGAAGACAGCTGCTAGCCCGTCAGCCCTAGCAGGACACAGGGGCTCTTGAGAGATGGAGCTGCCAGCCAAGGGCTCCTTAGGCAGGTCCTGTCCAGAGCGCGGTTAGTGGACAGAAACCAGAGGCCGGCTAGAAGAGGTGACAGCTGGAGGAGGAAGTGGGGTCAGGAACGTTTTGGGTTGTGATCATGATCACTAATGTTTGCTGAGTGCATACTGAGCTTGTTCTCCATCCCATGATCTGCAAAAGAGCCCTACTGGGGTAGGTGCTATTCTTTCCCCCATTTTACACACAGAAGCTTAATATCACAACCTGCTTATAAGTGATAGAACCAGGATTTGAGCCTACTAAATGAACATAGCAAAGATCAGAAACCAGGGAACCCGAAATGACTTTATTGTTAGGCTTAAAAGCCAGACATTTTCAAAGAAAGTGGCAGCAGCTGGACAGCGTAAGGGGCCTCTGGCCAGACCTACTGCACAGTAGGGGCTGCTCAGCCTCTCGCAGGTACTGGAGGCCTGTCCTCTCCTCCCCTCCCCGCCCCGTGCAGGGAGGGGGGCTTAGCGGGAGGGAAAGCTCCCCTTGGGCTGGAGCCAACTGACTGTGCTTGGTCCCCAGACACCAGCTGCAGCCTGATGGCTCTCTGGTCATCACCCAAGTGGCTGTGGATGATGGCGGCTTCTATACCTGTGTCGCTTTCAACGGGCAGGACCGAGACCAGCTATGGGTCCAGCTCAGAGTTCTGGGTAAGGTGGCAGTCCTGAGTGGCCTTTGAAGTCAGGTAGCATGGGTGGGGCAGGATCTGTATAGCAGCTGACGGTGTCTTCTCCTTGTGCCCAGGGGAGCTGATGATCACAGGGATGCCCCCTACTATGACGGTGCCGGAGGGGGACACTGCCAGGCTGCTGTGTGTGGTGCCAGGAGAAAGTGTGAACATTAGGTGGTCCAGGTAAAGGCTCTATTCCAGGCAGTGCCTGCCCCCAGGCCCTCAAAACCTCAGGTGGGGGTGTCCACCTTTCTGCCAAGGATGTCACTGTCACCACTGCTCCTACCTCCCTTCTTCCACTCCTGCCTCCAGGCCTGGTGCCAGGGGAGAGGGCTGTAGTACCCTTATCCCTACAGGAAGAAGCCCCGTGGGGCCATGTGCTTTCTGTTGGTTGGGCTACAACTGGGTCTCCTAACCTTAGCACCACAGATGTTTTGGACCAGATGTGTTTTGGCTGTTGGAGGCTGTGCTGTACGTGGCAGGATGTTTAGTCGCATCCAGAACATCTACCCACTAGATGCCAATAGCGCTCCCCCAAGTCCTGACTGCTAAAAATCTCTCCAGACATGGCAAAATCTCCCTGGGATTGAGAACCACTGGGCTACACTCAGCTATGGAGACTTTAGTGATATTTTACCCCAGATCAGTTGATCTTTTATTTGTCCATTCATTCAGCAGGCAATTTTTGCCCCTTCCCTCCCTAGAATGTATGATGCTGGGCTAGGTTCTGGGCATCCTGGGGCCATCTGGGCCCTAGGGCACTGCCAGGCAGGAGATGGCCCAGTGTCCTAGGAGCTGCAGGTGCTGTCTGTGCAGAGGAGTGTGAGGCTGCTTCAGGTCCTGAGAGTCAAGGAAAGGTGGCCAAGGAGGTGACTTTGAATGGGTCTTAATGGCTGAGGAGGGGGAAGGATGTTCTTGGTGGAGGAAGCAGCAATGCTGTGCCAAAGGCGGGCCCTCAGGAGAGAATGCCAGGATGGGATGGGCCTGAGTGCTGGTGGGGAGATGATGTGGCCGTGAGCCGGGGGAAGGAGGGCGTGGTGCTGGGGGTTTCCCAGCTGGAGTGCTCAGTCCAGCCCCTCCCGGTCAGATCCCCTCAGGCCCATTTCTTCACCTTGACCTTCTCTGGATCTTCCCAGCAGCAAACATGGTCAGGACTCCATTCTTCAAAACAAAACACAAAATAAAAAATACCTTCCTCCAGATCTGCATGTCCCTGTAGCCCCTGTGCTTTCATTGTCTCCCCGTCACAGCGTGGCTGTCCTTGTTGGCTGCCTCCAACCCGTTCACCTCCCCAGTCGCTCCCCCGCCCTGCAGTGGGGCCTCATGTCATACCCTGCTCTAGGACGCTGCCCCGGCCAAGGCTACTGATTGCCTCCCTGTTTGCAACTCCACTGGACACAGCTCAGTGCTTATGTGACCTGTCGTGTTCTTCTGCTGACCACTTGCTCCTTCTTCAAAGACTCCCCTCCCTTCGTTCCAGGAAGCCACTGTCTTCTGCTGTGCCTCAAGGTCTGTCCTCTGTCTTTGGTTTGTCCCACTCTGTGACTTCACCATGAACAACCCTGTAGATATGCACCTTCCAGGACCATCTGTGCTGATTCCACCCACATCTGAGTCCAGACTCTCTTGAGCTCTGGACCTCAAATCTGGCACCCTCAGATATCTCACAGGCACCCCAAGTTTGAACTGGTGGAAAACAACTTCACCATTCACCCTGACTGCTGCCCTGTATCTCCCGAAGTTGGAGGGGCACCACCATCACCCAGCGACCCAAGCTAGAAACCTGGGTCATTCTTGATTTCTTCCTTTCTTCCACCTCCCCCGTCTGACCTTCACCCAAGTCCTTTTATTTTACTCCCTGTATCATCTTCCCTCTGTTTACCACGGCAGCAGCCACTTACCTGGTGGCTCTGCTTGCAGGCTTTGCCCCTCACCCAACGCTGCAGTCTGCGCGAACCTTTCCAAGTGCTGTGTTGGTCCCTGCTTAGACGCCCCCACTACCCTCAGGAGCCAGCCCAAACCTGAGCCAGCCCCAGACCGTGCTGACTGGCTCTCCTGTGTCCACTTCACCCCTCGCTCCCTTCTCCTTGCTCTGGCTGTGTCCTTCCTCCATGTTCCCTGTCCCTCTCTCCATGGGCCAGCTGCTGCCGGGCCACCTCCACTCAGGGCTCAGCCACTGTCCTCAGGGAAGGCTCCCCTAAATGCCCGCACCACCCCGTGCCCTGGAGGTGGGGAGCGCGTTTCTGTCTGTTCATCCAGCACAGGGCCTGGCACTGAATGGCTGCTTGAAAGACCTTTGTCAATGAAAAGCCAGAGTGGAATTCCTTTGTGGATAGGAGGCAAACTTACAATAACTTAGATCAATGTGCTTAGTTCGTGTGAGTTCACCTCACTTGTATTATTTTGCTTTGATAATGTTTCCATCTTTTTTGGTGGACCTGTCCCATCTCCACCTCGAGATGAGGGTCCCGTTTGCCCTCAAGGGGGGCAGTTGACTCTGGAATGCACTTTACCTCCTCGCTGTCTCCGGGGCCTCCTGGAGCCTGAGGACGGGGTCCAGGATGGCTCTCCCAGTGTCCTCTCCCCTCCAGGAACGGGCTGCCTGTGCAGGCCGATGGCCACCGTGTCCACCAGTCCCCAGACGGTACGCTGCTGATCCACAACTTGCGGGCCAGGGACGAGGGCTCCTACACATGCAGCGCCTACCGGGGGAGCCAGGCAGTGAGCCGGAGCACCGAGGTGAAGGTGGTCTTGCCTGGTAAGAAAGGCCCATCTCCAGGGTGGGAAGGCATCCCCCTCAGGGCATTTGCTTGTTCTCAAAGGCTGGCTGTGTGTTGTGGGAGTGCAGGTCTGCAGTGCCAGGGACTCTAGTTCAAATCCTGGCTCATCCTGCCAGTTCCTGGTGGTGTGACTTGGGCAAGAGCTCCACTTTCTGGAGTCTCGCTTTCCTCGTCTGTGCAGTGGGACTACTCCACCTGAGAGTGTGGTAGTGAGGATGAGGGAAATAAAGCTGCTGCTGGGCACCTGGTGAGAGCTTAATAGATGTTGAGTACAGTAGTGTCTTTAGACATAATGATTTTGAGAAATATGATTGACTGGAATTTCATCATAAAATTTAAGGCAGACAGACCACTAACACCTGTCCATTCTAATCAGGGTAGCAAAAAGTGGTTCTATGACTGAAAAGTGCCTTCATGGCCACTTGATCATATAACCCAGAAAGGGGCTGGGCGCGGTGGCTCACGCCTGTAATCCTAGCACTCTGGGAGGCCGAGGCGAGAGGATCATTTGAGCTCAGGAGTTTGAGACCAGCCTGAGCAAGAGAGAGACCCCGTGTCTACTCAAAAATAGAAAAAAATAGCTGGGCGTGGTGGCGCATGCCTGTAGTCTCAGCTACTTAGGAGGCTGAGGCAGGAAGATCGCCTGAGCCCAGGAGTTTGAGGTTGCTGTGAGCTAGGCTGTGACACCACGGCACTCAAACCCAGGCAACAGAGTGAGACTCTGTCTCAAAAATTAAGTAAATAAATAAAATAAAATAACCCAGAAAGGGAAGGGCAGAGGTTATCATCACCATTTTACAATGAGACAGGTATTCAGAGAGCTTACTTAAGTGGTGGTTCTACCAGTCACACAGCAAAGTAGTGGCCTAGCTGGGACTAGAACTCAGAACTTTTGACTCTGTATTTAATATATGTATATATATCTTTTTGCTAAACTATTACACCTGTAACTGAGTGGAATTTTACCTGCTTTATTCAGTAATTTGATATTGTAGCCTTATATTCTCCAGGTCCTGCTTTCTGAGTTATATTTCAGCTAATCAAAATGCTGTATTGTAAGATGCATTATTTTTGTACCACCAAGAAAAAAAAATGTTGCCAACTAAATGACATAATGCTAAGACACCATCAGTTAAGATGCAGACCAATTTGAGAAGTGTGAAAATAAGTGCATCTCAGAATTGACGAAACAGACATGGTTTAATGTGCAAACTCTCAAGAGCTCTATGTTCAAATAAGCCAGAGGGAAAGGGGAGCAGCTTTGCCTGCACCCTACCTGCTCTGCCATGTGTCGCCTGTCCTAGTTCACTGTGGGACTGAATAGCAGGGGAATGCCCTGGGCTGAGCTGCCGTTCTCTGCCTGTCTGTATCAGGCCGGATACAGACCTTGGAGAGAGTGCTCCAGGGCCCTTCCCATCCGGTCTGCCTGGCCTTTCACTAGGTCAGGGCTGCAGCACTGCCCCAGGAGCACTGTTAACACTCCGAGGGGTGGGCCTGGCTGGCTCCTGTCTGCTAGGCTGAGGGCAGGGAGTGGTCAGTGCTAGATGCTGAAGGTCTGTGGTTGAATGTTGCTTTGTGAGTGGGACTGACACGTAGGCCTCCTTTCATGAGTCTCCAGGGCCCAGCCCACTGGGTCTCAGAAACCTGGTGACTAAGTGCATGCCTGCGTGAATGATGGTGTTACCTTGGCGAAAGCAACATGCTGCAGGGACTGTTTTTCACCTCTAATATGTCCAGAAAAGTGATCTTTCCTACATAATAACCAAACCAAGACTTGAGACAAACCAGAATGCAGACTTATTGTGAGAAAGCAAACTGTTAAGAGGATCTGGATATTTGTGTTTGTGATTAGCCATAGAACTAATATATGGGAAACCAAATTATAATCAGAAACTTGCTTGATGCCAAAGGCTGATGGAACCCTTGCTGATGCCTGGTCACCAAGCTGAAGTGGTCTCATGAGACTTGCATCCCAGATGGGACACTCATCAGTCAGGCCACCCTCCTGCCCTCTGCTGTATGAGTGTTGCCAATTTTAGATATTTTGGGGGCACCTTTCCTGATTAGCTGTTCCCCTCCTCTCTATCTATATTCATCCTGACTAGGCTGCAGATTTCTGCTCTTACCTGTTTGTTTTTCATAGGGTCACACAGCATGAGGCTGCCCCTACTTTGCCCTGTCCATGGCTTGGTGGCATATTAGAATTAAAGTGTTAGCATCAGGGTGGGGGCCACAGTTCTCCTGTGAGGACTTCTCAATCCTTTTGTTTAAAAGACTGAGATGAGGGCCGGGCGAGGTGGCTCACGCCTGTAATCCTAGCACTCTGGGAGGCCGAGGCGGGCGATTGCTCGAGGTCAGGAGTTCGAAACCAGCCTGAGCAAGAGCAAGACCCGTCTCTACTATAAATAGAAAGAAATTAATTGGCCAACTAATATTATATATAAATTAGCCGGGCGTGGTGGCGCATGCCTGTAGTCCAGCTACTCGGAGGCTGAGGCAGCAGGATTGCTTGAGCCCAGGAGTTTGAGGTTGCTGTGAGCTAGGCTGATGCCACGGCACTCACTCTAGCCTGGACAACAAAGTGAGACTCTGTCTCAAAAAAAAAAAAAAAAAAAAAGACTGGGATGAGGAACAGAAAATACTGTAGGGATCAAACACAGGCTGCCATGCACTGTGGCCTAGCCTCATTTCTCAAATAAGAGGGGACTATGCTATGGGGTAACATGACACAGTTAAGCACGCAAATTTTAGCTATGGTTATTATGTGCCTGGGTGCTATTTTAAGGGTCTGATATATCTGAACTCATTTAGTTTTTAGAACATCCCTATGAAGTAGGTGCTATTAATCTCCATTTCTTTTTTTTTTTTTTTTTTTTTGAGACAGAGTCTGGCTCTGTTGCCCAGGCTAGATTGCCGTGGCATCAGCCTAGCTCACAGCAACCTCAAACTCCTGGATTCAAGCGATCCTGCTGCCTCAGCCTCTGGGGTAGCTGGGACTACAGGCATGTACCACCATGCCCGGCTAATTTTTTATATATATACTTTTAGTTGTCCAGATAATTTTTTTCTATTTTTAGTAGAGACGGGGTCTCGCTCAGGCTGGTCTTGAACTCCTGACCTTGAGGGATCCTCCCGCCTCTGCCTCCCAGAGTGCTAGGATTACAGGCGTGAGCCACCAAACCAGGCTATCTATTTCACACAGGAGGGAAGAGGCATACAGAGTTTAACTTGCCCAGAGTTATTCAGCTGGTAAGTGATAGAACAAGGTTGAGCTTGGGCGGTCTGGCTCCAGAGCTGGCGTGCTTATCCACTACACTGAGCACCTACTTGGTCCAGGGGCTCCACCAGATAAAGTTGATACTGAAGTTATAGATTTTTTAAAACTCTGGTTATAGTGATAAACCATTATAAGGTCACTCACTAGTTAGGAATGGTCTTTTATAGTGGTATTCTGTGAGGGAACAAGGGAAGTGAGGAGAAAGATAAACTCCCTGGTCCCATGGGGTCTGATTTTAGGGAAAGCGCTGCTCAGGCCCAAGCCAAGCTTAGTCATCAGAGACTCTTCCAGAAAGAAGACAGAAGTTAATAGATAAGGGCACTTCAGTCCTAAGCTGAAGCAGTTGAATGAAACTCTTAAACAGGAGTTATAAGATACACAAGCAAGCTCCTAGTAAATTCAGAGGAAGAGGCAACAAGGCTTTGTTCTCAGTATAGTGTTGGAGCTACTGTTAACAACTTTTTCCTATTACCCTAATTTGTATTGCTTTCTTTGGCGGAAGTGGAAAAATTGAAAAGATGAGGAACCAAGTGATTAAGATAAGCTGAGAATATTGAAGGCATAAAACTTTTGGGGCTGAAGGAACCCAGCAGTGAAAGGGAAAAGATAACAGCTTTTGCTAACTCAAAATTTTACTTGGGGCCGGGCGTGGTGGCTCACGCCTGTAATCCTAGCACTCTGGGAGGCCGAGGCGGGCGGATTGCTCGAGGTCAGGAGTTCAAAACCAGCCTGAGCAAGAGCGAGACCCCGTCTCTACTATAAAATAGAAAGAAATTAATTGACCAACTAATATATATAGAAAAAAATTAGCCGGGCATGGTGGCACATGCCTGTAGTTCCAGCTACTTGGGAGGCTGAGGCAGTAGGATCGCTTTGAGCCCAGGAGTTTGAGGTTGCTGTGAGCTAGGCTAATGCCACGGCACTCACTCTAGCCTGGGTAACAAAGTGAGACTCTGTCTCAAAAAAAAAAAAAAAAAAATTTACCTGGGGCTGATCCTACTTGCTCTTCCTTCCAATTCAGAGGCCAAGGCAGTTGTTAGCATTTCAGGACTCAATAGTAAGGGTAGGGAGTTAACTTCAAGAGATGTGTAATTGTCTAGTCCAGGGGTCCTCAAACTTTTTAAACAGGGGGCCAGTTCACTGTCCCTCAGACCATTGGAGGGCCGGACTATAGTTTAAAGGATGCCTGGTCTAGTCAATATTTGGGAGTCTGGGAAGAGCTGTGCACTGGGCTGAGGCCACAATAATGGGAAGATGCTGAAGTGAGGCCTGTGGAAATCAGAGTTTGCAATTCAGGTGTTAAAGGGTTACAGGGTAACTGCACTTTGTTTTGAATCTGGCAGGTACAATGCTGCTTTCCTTTGAAGGAAATAAAATGGCAGGTAAGAATCTTCAGTATAAAAAGGGCTTCACCACTTTTTCTCTCCCCTGTTCTGCAGCACCTGCCACCCAGCCCAGGGACCCTGGCAGGGAGTGCATCGACCAGCCGGAGCTGGCCAATTGTGATTTGATCCTGGAGGCTCAGCTCTGTGGCAATGAGTATTACTTCAGTTTCTGCTGTGCCAGCTGTTCCCGCTTCCAGCCTCATGCTCAGCCCATCTGGCAGCAAGGATGAAGGCTAGCTCCAACCCCAGTTCCAAGACAGTTTTTTGGGCTGGGGAGAAGGGAAGAAGATGGACTCTTGGCCTCTCTTTGGCTGGCAAAGGGAGTTATACTCTGGAGACACTGACCCTTTTGAAAACCCACCCAGTGTCAGCCTCAGCAGTAGCAAGTACTGGCCTTCCTGTGTAGTAGTCAGTGGTATTTGTATCTCTGACATAACCATAGCCTCTGGATGAGTTGTCAAAAAAAAGCAATCTGTTTGGATAAGAACCTATACTTTATATCTTCCCTTTATCATTTGTTACACAGAATTGGTTCACTACGTTTTAGTTTTTAAATTATTTTTTAGATACTCTTGTTCTGTTACCTTGGCTAGAGTGCAGTGGCATAATCATAGCTCACTGCAGCCTCAAATTTCTGGGTTCAGGCAATCCTCTTGCCTCAGCCTCCCGAGTAGCTAGGACTACAGGCACACACCACCATGCCCGGCTAATTTTCTATTTTTAGTAGAGACGGGTCTTGCTCTTGCTGCGCCTGGTCTTGAACTCCTGACTTCAAGTGATCCTCCCACCTCGGCCTCCCAAAACGCTGGGATTACAGGCATGAACCACCATGCCGGCCAGTCTACCACATTTTAAAGCAAGCTGTCAGGGCTCTCACTTGATTTAAAGCTGGGCAGGAAGGTGTGTAATGATGTTGAAGTTAACACCTGTCTTATAAGGGGAATGCCAACTCCTGTTGTGTCAGAGAAGTACTCTTTGCTAAACTCTTACCTGTGGTAAAACCGTTCATTGCTCTGGTTTCTCTCACCCTTCTGCAACTACACCCTTCTGTCAACTACAACTCCTGTCTGTACAAATGGTTAACAGCATAACCCTCGTTGGCAAAGTAGAAGATATGTAAGGTCTTGAGTAGGGATTTAGGATGAAAGCCACAGTTAGCACTATTATCTGAGCATGAAAGAGCTAGAAAAGCTTACTCCATCAGAGAGCTGGACCCTGAAGCCCTTCTGAGACCGACTTGCAAAGCTGGCTGTGAAAGTTCATCTGACACCTGTATGAAACTGACCTCTGTACAGTGACAACGAGAAGCTCCTCTCTTCCTTAAGTAGGAATCTGTGAAGCAAAATGTTTGCCATCAGAGAAAAACCAAGACTATACTAACAATATTACCAGGATGGGGATACTAATGGGAAGGGGTGAGGGCAATGCAGTAACAGGGAAATGGTTTCAGAAATGGTTTGAGTTAGAGGAAATCATTCATCTCTCAGAATTTCTGATTCTTCCATGCTAAAACAAGAGGCATAAATTCAGTGAACTTCCAACTTTCTACAAATCCTCCAGAGGACTGCCTGTATCAAAGGTTATTCTTGGACACAGGAAAAGATGGGCATTACAAGGACAAAGCACTATAAGGTGACTTTTATTACTAACAGTGGCTGGAAAAGAGATAAACTACATCATGGGTGAGTGATACTTCTCAGTCTACCTCTCATTCAAAAAAGAAACATGGGCCAGGGGCAGGTCTTTTTTTCTTTACATTATGAAAACACAGAGGAGTACCTCCTTTCATTTACCATGGCTGGTTTTGCTATAGAAATTGGAAAATAAGGGCCACTTTCTTGGACCCTCCAGTTGAAACCAAATTTTAACCTACTGGCATATATACTTCAGAAGGTAAGTTTGAGGTTAGCTTGCCCTTTGCAGCTTAGTTCTAATAATAGAACTAGCCACAGAATATAAGATTAGAGGTGAGAGTAAAATCACTCTAGACCAGTGATTCTCAACCCTCTTCCATACTGGGAGCTTAAAAAACTGAACCTGGGGTTCTCCGCTCCTGAAATTTGATTTTAATTGGACTGAGTATAGGCCAGCCATTAGGATTTTAAAAGCCTCTCAGGTAATTCTTTGGAGCCCAGGTTGAGAAGCACTGTTCCAGCTCTGGGGTGAGGCTGAGATTCTGCATTTCTAACCAGCTACTAGGTGAAGTCCATGCTGCTGTTCCAGAATACACTTTGAGCAGCAAGAAGGTGACTTTAGAGATGCACTCAGGATCAAGCCAAACTTAAAAGTATGAGTGAAAACATGAATTTTAAGGATATTCTAGTCCTAATAAACGATTTTCTGGCCACTAAACTTAGGATCTATAGCAGCCATAGAATAGAGAGAGAATAAATCCGAAAACCCCTAAGTAAACTCGTTTGCTTAAAAAAAGAGAAAAACAGCCCTTCATGGGCAAAAGCTTCTACCACGAACATTTATTTTTGTTAAAGCAGATTATAAATTCTCATCAGTACAAATATATATAACTTACATTTGATTGTAAGGCCAACGTTCAAAAGTAAAAATAAGATGGGATCTCATGTTGTTACCCAAAGTCAAGTGACTGCAACTGGCGATGGGATGTTCTGCTCACCAAAAAAGGGAGGGGTGGCATACACACAAAGCTAATAAACAGGAATCCCCATACCCACAAAACTTGTGGAAACAAAATTTAAAGGCCAAAACAAAACCCACCAAGACCCACATTATAAACCAACACAGTAACCTGTGTTCCCTTCTGTGGTAAGATTATGTAATTGTTACCTTAGTGTTAAAACAAAGGATTAACATAAGGAAATTGCAGCAATATATAAAAGATAATACATAATCTCTATAGAGCATATTTAAATTGATTCCATTAAAATAATGACATTAGAATTTCACCATAGGTTTAAAACCAGGACAATACTGCTTTCATTATTTAAAACTACAACCTAGTGACTGTATTGGTCATAAGCATGATTGTGGTTGCAATGTGTTACTTACAATGAATGATAGTAAACAAGCTAGGGATCCCGTCTGCAACTTCCAATCTTTCCATTTTTATTTCAATAGGCATCAATGATAAATCAATCTTATGTACAATTTCTTACAACTAACCCTTTTACCTTTGGCAAGATTACTTACAACTCATACAACTTTCTTATATTGAGAACTATTTAAAATATTCTAAATGCATAAAAATAAAGATTTTGGCTTTTTCGATATATATATTTATAATATTTATTCTGTTACTTAAAATGGAAGCTCAACTTCACCCCCAAAATATAGCTCTGCTAGGCAGTTGCTGATATGCCCTCCTGGGAATTCTGGCAGCACAGCCTGCCCCCTCTCTTCCCTAGCCTGAGCACAAACCAGTCTGTTCTTGATCTCTCAGGCCAGTACTGAGAAGAGGCAGGTGAATGGACTGGAAAACAAAGGGAGATTGTTATGCTTCCCGTTGTGTTTTATATTCCAGTAAATGTGCTTTGAATACAGATTCCTATTCAGATATTTCTGCCTCTCTATTGCCAGAGATTTGTAAGGGGGTGAGGAAAAAGGGAAGAGGGGGGCAACATTTCCTCAACTACTTTAGCCTAACTGCAAGGCAGCTTTTCTCTAGGAATGGTTTTCTCCATGTCTTTCAAAATCACCCCTTACTGTACTCTGGTTCTGGACTTATTCCTTGGGACCTTTGGGATTAGTAAAAAGAGTACTGATCAGGAAGACAAAGCCCCCTTTGCTCCTTTGACCTCTGCCCCTTAAGTATGGACAACATCCATAAGCCATAGGGATTGCTTAAAGTTCAATTTCAAACGTCTTCTGTAAGTCACTGGAGAAAGGGTTGGTAGGGGAAGGATTAGTACGCTGCTTGGACTTGCTTTCTAATGCAGCCCACTGGGCTTCAAAAGGATCCACGGGGCAGGTACCTGCAGGAATCTCTGTGTGCTTGTCTCCTGAGGCCAACCTGCCATCGTCTACACCATTGAAAGCTGCAGAACCGTTGAGGTGCTGAGCAGGAGGCTTAAAGAAGGGACTGGTGGTAGTGCTGCTTGTCTCATACTGAGGGAATGTCTGCTGCTTGGCCAGGCTGGGTGACTGATGGGGTTGGGCAGCCTGAGGATGGCTTGCAGTGCCAAACACATTGGCTACCATCTGAGACGGAGTGATGCCCACCACAGGCACATTAGGGGCTGGATAGGGCATCCCATTGGCCACAGGATAGGACTGGGCAGGGACAAAGGCTGGCTGCAGGGGTGGGACCACACCCACTGGCACAGGCTGAGAGGTGAGGAATGCATTCCCTTGGAAAGGTGGTGCTGGATGGGAGACGGCAGTGGGTGGAGGCGGCTGGAGAACTGGCTGCAAAGGAGCAGCTGAGCCCTGGGGCTGCTGAGCCCGGACGCTCTTAGACACCTCTTCTAACCACCGGTCGGCTTCAGAGGGAGTGCGTCTATGACCAGCCTGGAAGAGACCTGGAGAGGCAGCACCGGAAGATTGACCCCACTCAGTCCCTGGAAACAAGATGAAGAGAAACAAAAGATTCTGATTAGGGATAACTGATTAGGGAGCCTCTTTCCTCACCTTTTAACCTTGATTATTTGATCCTAACATGTAGAACAAGTCCCCCTAATGGGACATTTTGTGGTTTTGGGAGGAAAGTCCTCTACTAGCAAATGAGAAGATTTTGTGGTAGGACAAATAGAACCTGTCAGGCAATGATGCTGTCTCAGCCACGTTGAGGCACTTTCTAGATATGGCTCAAATGCATTGAACCAAGGCAGCTGGCTGGTGTCAGAAACCCTTCCCTGTTGCTCATCCACAATACAACTAGCTTGCACATGCTCTAACAGGCCTGAGGTGATTCATCTTCTGCTCTAACAGGGCAAAAAGAAAAGAACCAATGACCTGGCCTATCTCACTGGCAGCCCCTGCCTGGCTTCCAGACATACAGGGTTCTTACTGGTGAACTACCTTTATTACTATTTTAAAACTTTTTGGTTTTATAGTTAATAGATGTTCATTATAGAAAAACTAATACAGAAAAGCAAAAATAAAGTGCTTTTTGTAGCACTTTTTGTGGTCCTGCCATTGTAGGGGGCAGGGTCCCCTCTTCCTATAGATATATCCACACATCACCAAATCCAGTGATGGATTCTCTGAAGTGGGGCCCAGGAATCTGTGTTTTATGAAAGCTCTTTTATAAAAGTTCAGTTCCATAGTCCTAAGTACTATTAATCTAATAATCTCTTTTGTTCATCTCTTTAGCCACCTTCTCCTAATAGCAGCTTATTTCCAGGAGGGAACATCCTTGTCCTAAAAGATTGCTTCCTAGTTCCCATTCAGGTAACTGGCTGATTTTAGAACCAAGGTCACTTATCTGATCCCAGAATCCTCGCCACCATCTGTGGCCACCTTACCCGAACATGTGGCTGCAATTTTCTTGTTAGCAGCATCAGGGGCATGGGCCCAGGGGTTGGTTTCACGCACAGGCATTGCTACGGGTGAAAGAGCAGTATGGGCTGGCTTAGCAGCAAGCACATGGAAGGCTGAGTCAGTGCCATTAGCTACAATGGGAGCAGACAACATCAATGCAGTT